TCAAGTAATAAGCTTCCAGATTTGTGTAGTGGGACAACGGTGTGGATTTGTGCATTTTATATTGAATAAATTTGGAGCTACTCCAAATTTCTCTCTCTTCTCCCAGAGAAGAGCAGGGGGTGTTAAAGATCAACTTCAACAGACTGCTGGGGAGACCCCAACGGAAGGGAAGTTGCTTTCTCTAAGTGCTATCCCTGACCATAAAACTGGCACCTTTTTGTTCCGAAGCTGATAACGCGGGGCCTGACTGTTAAACTGACAAAGGGACATGAAACAGCGATTAGCATTTCCCTGAACAGCCTATCAAAACTGCCCCCGTTAATTCCGTTAAATGTATAAATATCCTGACCAATAATGTGACAATTGTTTCTTGTTACCAAATGCCTAGAGCAGTACAACCGTCTGACCATTGAGGTTCGGTTGTGGAAAATATTTGATTATAATACGCGCAAATAGATTTTCTTTTCTTTTAGACATTAAGTTTAGAAAGGCAGTCCCTCGGGAAACCTGAAACGCCCTCTGGGGAACCACGCCCCAGGCAACAAAAAAGCGACACGCGACGTTGGTTGTTCTCTACTCTTCTGTTCTCTTCTTTGCTCTCTCCCTCTCAGCTCTCTGCTCTATGGATGCTTCGGCAAGCGTCCGGCGTGCCTCGCCAGGCAACGCCTTAAGAGTCGGCCAGCGCAACCAGCCTTTTGTTCACTAGAAGCTACACACGCGAAGTGCCGCGACATCGATCTGCCCCTCAGTTTGTTTTATTTTCTTTCTTTCTTTTGTTTTGTTAAAGTTATCAGTCAGTGAAGTTACACTGGACTAATTCAGGAACAACGAAGTTCCATTTTTAAGCTTTTTCGTCGAGCCAATTTCACCGAGGTCAGACCAAGCCACGTGGTCTCGCCAGCGGCAACGAAGGAAACCTGAAAACAGCCGAATTGCCAGACGGAGGACGACGTTTTCTTCAGTCAGACACAGAGAACCCCGGAGGATGACTAGCAAAAAGCCAGGATCGGCAGCTAGCGTGGGACCCGTGCAACAGGCCAAAGCAGGCAGACAAGCCATAAGACCTAACACACATTCTGTGGTCAGAGACGTACCGAAATGTTAATATTTCCTTTTAACTCCTAAATTCATAGCTTACTTTCATTAGTTCTCCTATGCCGTATGAGTCAAATGCTTCCCACAATCAAACCTCCAGGCTCATTGTGCCGCCATTGTTTATTTACCCTTTTATATCACATTAGTTAGAGAATAAATTCACTGTAATATAATCAAGAGCTGTGTGTGTTGCCTATGTCTAAGTCCCTGCCAACAGAATTGACCCTTTAGATATGAGACTGACTGACTGATTTACGATAATTGAGCGAGTGATCACTAGTAATAATTGTATAATTATTAAAAGCTACCTAGAGGTCCGGAGACTCTAGGATTATAACAACTCCGGTGGTGCCCTGGAACGAGGAATAATTTTTGATTTTATGAATATTAAAATTCATAATTGGGTATTAATTCTCATAAATTTATTAAAATTCATAACTAAATTAGCCATGCTACATTTGTAATAGACATGTATTAAGACCAGTTTATATAAATAAGCCACAAAACAATAAGTGAATCCATGTTTTAAGATTTCTTATGTTCTATAGTTTACAAGCCAATTAGATCACTTTGCCTCTCAGTCATTTTGTTATTTAGGGTAAGCTCATATATGTGAAAATTGTCTGTCTCTAATTTTCAGCATCTGAACTCTGAAAGAAGCAGCTTTGATTTTCTGTCCAAAAACAAGAAAGAAATGGAAACTCAGCATTATTAAATCTGCGACTAGAAAGACTAAGAGGGCTACTTTAAATGCCCTGATCCAGAACTGTCACACTGCATTCTGTATCACATTCATGGATGGACATCCCACAAAACCCAGACATTTCAGTCATCAGGGGCTCCATATTACAGCAGGATTGTTAGAAATACAAACTCACTGGATCTTTATAGAGAGTCAGAAAAAATGGCTGCAGACAATCTGCTATCACCGAGAATGATTTCTGCACAGAAGACATTTATATAACAACACTGTTAAATCAGACTTATTACTGCAATGTTGCCTCTGGCCACCAGTGGCAGCATCGAGCACAGAGGTGCTAAGCAGCACTCCAGGTGATGAGTGAGATGATGTATAAAATTTAATGTCAGAGAACTTTCCTGGTCAGCGTGTTTTTTATTACTTCACACACTATTGTCTCTCTTGTCACAGAACAAATTGGATTTTGTAATAATATAAAAATAATGAAAAAATTAAAATATTTTGCTAATGAGATTGTTAATGACTCTTGGCCAAATCTTATTACATGTTGCCCTTTGGACACAGATGACTGTCTAGACTGACACAGAGGAGGAGTGAGTGAGGTACACTTGTTTGACAGGAAAAGACAGCAGTGGTGTCTGAGCACAACTTAGCTGAAAATGATGATGCTTCCAAAGTCAGAAATGTGATGTGGAATGTCTGAGGTGACGTGGGAGCGAGGTTACTTAGAGTTTTGTAGGTGATGAGGAGAATTTTATACTGGATTCTGTGTTGGATAGGGGACCAATGGAGGTTTTGGAGGGCTGTAGGGATGTGGTCTCTGGTGCTGGAGTGAGTGAGACAGGAAGCTGTGATTTCAATTCAATTCAATTGAAAAAACTTTATTTATCCCCGTAGGGCAATTCAGTTTTAGCCTGCCAGTCATATCAAACAAGACAAAAATAACAATCAATCAAGCATTCAGAAACCCTGTCAATGACATCATATAAGCATTTGAGATAATAATTTAGGCCCAGCAATCTAACTTAAGCCCAATTACAACATTCATATTCACAACGGACCACATGTCCTGTAACAGTTTTGTTGCAAAATTAATGCCAATAAAATGTTTGTTTTATCACTACACATAAATCTACTTAAAAACATTCAAATACAAGTGAAACAAGGCTACGGCTACAAGAAGAAATACTTAAATATATCATTTTTGTGCACTACTGGAGTGATAGTTTTGTACCTTATATTTTCTCACGCGACTTGTTTTGATCATCACCAGTGCGCCTTCCAGGCATCCAAGGGGTGCTCTCTCAAGTGGATGAAGTAGGCTGTATTTTCACAGTTTTTATTATTTGATTTATGACCAACCACCCCTTCTGGCCCCTGTCACCAGTGGTAAATATATAATTCCCCTTGTTTTGACTATTATTTCCAGTTTCCAGTTCAGCAGCTACATTATCAAAGTCGTTTTTTAAGATTTTAAATGGGCACTGAGGTCAACCAGTCAGATGCCCCTTGATGTCCCCAGATCCAGGTTATAACATAAAAGTGACTGCTCCTAATCTCTGGAATATCTTACCTGTTCAATTAAGAAATAGTCGCAGTGCTGACAAGTCCTTGCTAAAGGCCCACCTCTGTCCTTGCTGGTCATTTAATCAGCAAAACAAAAGCAAACTCTGAACCATGCGTATGCACAAAAACTGGAGAATTGAGAAACTCAAAATATTACCTCTGAGTATAACAGACCAATAAAACATACTATAATTGAATAAAAGTTCATTTGCCAAACAGATGAAAGCCTTTTCGACTAAACAAACACCCGTTGGAGTTCCCTGGAGTGTTGAAAAGATTGTGGGCTGTAGGTGGTGTTGCATAAATACGGTAACCTCGAGTTAACCACGAACATAACCTGTTCGGACTTTGTAGTACAGACCTGTGCTCCGGAGCAGATTATGTTCCATTTTTACATAGCCTATTGCAGCAGGTTAAGAAACTTAAGGGGCTATGTTCAACACTGACTGAACAAAAAATACAATTAAAGATTCCTCCCTCCACTGAGGGGGCTAACCCAGACACTTCTGGACTCATAAGAACCCAGACGTTGTTCAACCCACTAGTTGAACAGTCTGCCACTGTCTGTTGGACTGGCTGTATAGCAGCGATCAGCTTACTGGATTTTGGCTCTTGGCCTGTAATCTCAGCAGGTAGAAGAAGAGAGTGCTGTGAAAAACCCAAGCCTTTTTAACCTACAGGCACTCAGTGGTAATCAGGCACTCCAGCTGCCACTGTCTTATGCAACGGGGGGGGGTCACCACCTGAGAGAGTAGCGAGAGGGGAGGAACACACATATGACCCTTGGATCATAACAAATATGAATGTATTTGACCCACCTTTTGCGATGTGGGTGCAGGTAATGAGGGGAGTTTCCACCATTATTTGAGCACATTTTATGGCATGAATGGATTTTTCATTTTGTTGCTTTATGAAGTTAATTTAGAACACTTTTAAGTTCGTTAAACACAATAATGTCATTTTTGAGGTTTCCAGAATTTCTTAAAAGTGAGTTGGAACGACTACTTATTCAGTGCCCAAGTCTTTTAATGAGCAAACCCCGACACACAGTTGAGCTGAAAGAATAAGGCTGATATTTTCATAGATACCATAAAAACACATCAAATCAATGCATTGTTAGAGGCTATGACTTTTCATTTAGGCATTCACACCATTGCCAATTTTCTGTCTTCCTGTCTGTGTCAGCTGTAGTTCTGTTATTAGAATATGTCATATTTGTGTAACTTTACAGTTTCCTCGTGGTTTGTAAAATATAATGCTCTGAAGCCAGTAGACTTGTTCATGTCTGCGATTGGTAATGTGCTGCTACTCACTGGATTGGGAAACACGGGGTTGACTTACTGAGTTGATAACCAGCTTTGTGTGACCGCTTATCCTGATCCCAATTGTTAGGGCTAGTGAAGAAGTTAGTAACACCTCTGACACACCCACCTAATGAGACAAAAAGATACCTCAAAGCCTGCTGTACACTGTTTCGAGGAAACATGTTGTTCAACTCAGACACCGTACCAAACTGGTGCAAAACATTTTTATATTAAACGTGCCCCATATTTAAATTTGACAGCAACAATATGATTGGCTGATAAAATGTTGTTGCAAATCCTGTTTGGTTAACTGAAAGTGGACACCCATCTCAGCTGATTAAGATAAACAGGAAGAAAGAGGGAGATAGATGTGAATGAACATACCCTGAGCTTACTTTGATGTGAAACGAAGTTACACTGCAGAGCTGCAATCATTCGCACTATGATGAACTTCATCTTGACAACAGCTTTAATTATCTGCAGCATCAGTAACTACTGCCAACACATTTCTCTCTACTTTGTTGCTTCTACAATTAAGACTTATTTTCTTATGTATAATTTATTCAGAGGTGTTGTTTACCTTCCTATAACACGCACATCTCTTGTTGTCTCTGCTGTTTGTTTCAGGCTGGATCTCTGTCTCAGTTTCTGAGTCTCAGACTGTGAAGGTCCAGCCTGGTCAAGAAGTCACACTGTCGACTACCAACATTTCCAGAAATCAAGCCATGACAACCTGGTTCAGAGTGGTCAACAGAACCAAGGCCAGCTGTATCTCCATTATGACCAAGGCTGACAGCGATCCTAAATACTGTGATGGAGTAGAAAACGGAACATTTGAAATGAGCTCCAACACCTCCACTGTCTTTCTCAAAATTAAGACAGTGGATTTTTCTGACTCTGGGCTGTATTTGTGTGGATTTTTCATAGAGGGACAGACAATTTTAAGTGTGATACATTTAAATGTTGAAGGTAAGATTATAAAATCCTGTGGTACCTGTTCTTCTGTTATGTCTTTCTATATTTGTAAAATTATTAACTGTCCTAAAACACATATATGGCTATTTAATTAATGTCAAAACAAACATAATAAAACCATTTAAAAGTAAAATCTAGATTAAATTTATCTTCATTTTGTTACAAGGCAGTGATGAATCTCATGATGATGCTGACAGAAAGTCTACAAGTAAGATTCTCTTTAAGATTTCTATCATTGTGCAGATAGTCGATAAAAACAGTACGGCTAACTTAACATTTGTCAGTTTAATGTTAGCACTTTTCAAGCCACTAAAGAGAAAATAGAGTCTAACTTTTAGATCTTTCTTTTAGCAGAGAGTGATAGAATAGCAAACCTGATGAGTGGGATCCTGGGCGGCCTGACTGTTTTCCTCATAATGGTCATCATCTGTCTGGTTGTTAAAAACAGGAAACTTCAAAAAGGTACTGTTTGTATCTTGGGTTTGGTTTCTTGTTTTTTCACTTCTCTAAAATTGTGTGAATATGTTGAAAGAGTACAAATGTTCATGTTGGTCACCTGATTACAAATATTGTCTCCATCATTCAGCTGCCAACAAAGAACAGAATCCACAACAGCGTGAGGTAAATTAAGTTTGATTGTTTACTATTACATATTTTAAATTGTTAAAGGTGGTTGAATCATGGCAGGTTGGGATTTTTCTCACAAACTCAGCCAGTTGACGTGTGGAACTGTGTGTCCTCTTTACAGAATCTGGACTCTGATGACCTGAAAGCACTGAGTTTGTATTCAACAACAATAAGAAACAGGAGGCCTGCATCAGAGAGAGAAGTGGAAACTCATGTTGTTTATGCTGCCAGCAGATAGAATAATGCTATTAATCATATTCATCAATTGCTGTTATGTTATGTGTGTGTGTGTGTGTGTGTGGGGGGGGGTTACCATCTTCTTAAATGTACAAATAATCAAATTAATCAACGTGATCTTTTAGTCTCATGAATCTCTCACTCTCTGTCTTTCTAACTCTAGAGAGACTGTCCACAAAGACAATAGATAGATGGAGGTCTGCAGATGGAGGAGTGAGAGAGGCACGCATCATTTGTTTAACAGGAAGAGACAGCAGAGTGGTCTGAGCACAGCTGAGGTGAAAATCATGAGGTCACACATCTGAATCTGAATCAAGTCGGACATGAAGCAGTGAATACTGGCTGACTTTCCTCTGTCAAGTAGATGTGGTGGGGAAAGATTCCCCAGGTGCAGGTTAAGGTGTGGTGGTGTTGAATGCAGCCTTGACTTAACTCCTCCCCTGGCCAACCTCCTTATTAGGCTTAGGCTATATAAGACACCTGTGTTCCCTTTCTCTCTCTCTGCTTCTTGATCTGTCCCTGCTGTGGTTGTGGCCCAGTTATGTGAAAGGAATAGTTTCATGCACATCTATTTTCCCTTAACAGTTTATGTTGCTTACCTGCACTTTGACCTGTTAGGAACCTCCTTTTCTCCTGCCCTGTGACTGTTGATTGTTGTATCTTCATGACCCATCTCAGAGGTGGCGAGTAGATACGTAAATGTGTTTTAATGCAGTAAGGCTGAGCCTGGCTAATTGTTTCCTTCAGTTTTCCAGGTTCCTCCTTGTTTTAGACCACTGCTGTTTCACCTTATTTAGTTTCCTGTTTGTTTTGTTTATTTTGTCTTCAGTTTATATTTTGAACAGGGTGCCATTTTGTTGGGAGGCTAGGCACCTTTTGCGTGGGGGCTCTATATACAGACTGCACCATTTTTGCTGTGAATAATGCTTTGAGGTTTGTAGTGCTGCACCTAAGGTGGGTAGTGGTAGCACTCCTGGGCACTCCTCAGCGTAGTCTGCCTCTCCACAAGTGACCTCTACTTAGCTTTGGTTAGTTATTTTGGGTTTGGATTTATATTCTTTATTTGAACTTAGAAATATTTAACTAACTATTGTAATAAAGTTGTTTTATCTGCCATTTTATAATTTTTATTGCTGGTTCACTTTTCCTTTCAGCAGTTCCAGTCCCTGATTGTTTCCTTGCTGATTAAAATTATATATTGGTATATTTTGTCTCTGTCTCATAACTTTTTGTGCCTTTTTCCTCTATTACCTTCAATTAATTGAGGGTTAAATAGTCTTTCCTGGGGTGCAATTCCCTAGGTGGTGTTGTTGGCTTTCATTCACCCCCCCCCTTCCTGGTCCGCTGTTCCACATAGACAAAGTGATCAGGTTCTATATTTGTACAGAGTTTTGGGAAAGTAGAAATTTACACTGTGATGTCAAAATGTTACATGTCTGAATAAAACATACAATTTTAAAGTGATTGGTAGTTGTATTTTTGAATATAAATATTTTTGACACCCACATGCTGCTTGTTGCACTTTGCACTGTGGTGATAAACAGCACTGTTTATATCGGGAGATCGGTTTCATCACACATAAAACTTGTCCGCCTATACTTGTACTGTGCATGTCGCCGTTTACTTTGAAGACTCCAAGTCTGATTTCCGCCACCACACTCGTGTTACATTCAGTAACAGTCCCAGCTCATTATTGGCACATGCAAAAAAAACTGGTCTGATGCTTCATCTGTATGTATTTTGCCAAATCTTCTGTAAGTACGGAATAGACCATCTGCTTCATATTTACACTGGCACGCACGCATGCCCAGTGTAAAACACTAGTGTGGATGGAGATAATAAATTTAATTCTCCGTTTGTAAACTAAAACGTAGTGTGGATGGGGCCTGATACTCAAGAAGCCATTCACTCCACAGGCTGTACACTGTTCTTTTGGAACAGAAAAGCTCACCTGTGTGTTCAAAGCAGGCTGCTTTATGTGAAAGACGGTGTGCTTTTCATGTGCTACAGCAGTGGAGGAATAACTGGTGAGTGAAGACGTGCCAGATTTGATAGACCTTTCAAGGGTGGTGGATTTACAAACTGGTGCAAAGCCACCTAGAAATTCACTGAACATGAGAATTAAGTTATAATTCAAAGAGCAGCTGCTCCAGGGCTGCACAAACAGGCGCTCTAAGGAAGGACTTTCGTGAAGCCTTGTAAGGGCCCTGTGAGGCAGTGGCAAAATTTACAAAGCTCAAAGTGCGCTTGGTGACCTTTATTGTATAAATGTGCTTAAAGGACAACATTTATTCATTTAGCTGATGCTTTTACCCAAAGCAACTTACAATTACTGTACATGTCAGAGGTCACACACCTCTGGAACAACTAAGTGTCTTGCTCAGGGACACAATGGTGGATGGGTCACAGTGGGGGATTGAACCCTGGACTCTCTCACCAAAGGCAGGTGTCTTATCCACTGATGCAGCAAAGGGCCATAAAGTGGAACTGGACCTACAGCCCCTTCATCTTTCCAAGCAGCTGGATGTAGGCCACCTGCAACTCCAACTCAGGATGTTGGGAGACATTACCAAGGATTCTTCATGCAGCTCAGTCCCAGAAGTGGTCTTATATCTCACCAAACTACACCAACAACCCAGAGGTTTGTTCAGAGAAGTAGAAAAGCTCATAAAGCCTCTGTCTTCCCCCATCAGTGGCATCATGAGAGAGATGACATTTGAGAGCCCTTTATGCACACTTTCTGTAAGTCTACATCTCTGCAGACTTTGTCCAAGGGAATTACCCACAGTTCATAGCGTTGTGACATTGTGACAGCTGATAGCGAGCAGAGAGGAAAACAGGGCCGAGTTCAGCACAGACAAAATGTAGCAAAATGTTTGTTTTAACAGAAACGGTGGTGCCTTGAACACCCTGTTGTGTAGGCAAGCGCACTGTAGTTTACTGCTTTTTAAATATGTTTAAAACGTTAAAACATTTTGAGATTGAACTCGAGCCATATTTAAGTTTGACAGCTGTAGAGCCGAACCACCTATATGCTCACTACGCACGTTGTGAAGGGCCCCGCATATTAAACAGGCCCCCACCTCACTCTCATATAAGGAGAAAAAGAGTGTCCATGCTTTTAACTTTGTTGAGAGGATGAAGAGAGACTATCCTTCTGAGCATGAGAAGAGAAAAAAAACTCAGTGAGAGTGAACTGTAGGAACAGCAGTCAGGTAAACATGTTCTCTCCTCTCAAAGTCTGATGTCAGCAGATAACAGTAATATTAGGTTGATGTGCGGATGCAGCGCATCTCTCCTCACACAGATAACAGAAACAAAAATGGTTTATTTAACTCAAACTAACAAACAACTAAGTTGATGGAGTGGATAGATATGAGGAACATCAGTCATGTCAGATGTCAGAAGTGTGTGGTTGAGTGAGAATGAAGTGTAATGTGTGTTGGTGGGTGCAGCAAATAAAAAAAAGGAACAAAGGAGTTGAAGCAGCAGGCCAGCAGAGAGAGAGCGATTCCCAAAAAGGCAGCCCTTTTATGCCCTCTAGGAAGCCTGACCCAGATGGGCAGGTACAAGCACTGGACCCTCCCAGCTCCTCCTACAAGCCACATCTCAGCATCTGCAAAACAGACAAGGAAACACACAGGCAGGCAGACTGGAGGAAGTTGTCACAGCTGTCTGTCTTGCTAAACCAGCTGTGCAGCACATCTCTTGCCAGACTTTGTGCCTGAACAATTTTTGAGTGAAATACAACTATTTTTTACGTTTGATAAATGCTGAAGGGCAACAGGGTTTATAAACTGCAGCTGGGAAAACCCATATCAACATACGTTGATATGCGCATGCACAAAATGAAATTTGTGCATTCCAGCAGTAACCTCTTTGAGAAAGAGTCCAGACAATGTATTGGCCTGATGACACTCCTCATTTTAAAAACAAGACAACACAGTTACATCTCAGGGCAGACTGGGCAACATGGATGCACATATCTCAGTAAATAATAACCATCATGTATTCAGTAAAGTCATGGTATAAATAGTATTTTATATCTGAAAATGTATTAAAGGAATCCTGGGGGAGCCAGTTTGAAAGGCCCTGATGGAGCTGATAACATTAATATCTGGCAAGAAATGTTATCTATAATTTACTATGCCATGCTTCAGTTTGTCAGTAGAGTAGATGTGGATCATCAACAAGTACTAGGACAGCCACAGATGTTCAGCCAGCATCAGATACAAGCAGACCCTAATGCAACAGTTGCCCCGCAGCAGAATTTTGAATTTGATGTGACCATCTTGCTTAACGGCCTTGAACTACTTTTTATTTTATTTGGTTTGAACCTCATTTGGTAACTTAATATAAAATAACTGTAAGAATAACTTTGCCTCGTATCTCTTGAAGTCATTTGGTGTCACACTCTGAAAGCATGTATGAGGTCAGTTGACCAACTGGATAACATGATAAGAGAGCCCGCCTCTTAAGTTGACAGCACCCTTCCTGGAGCACGGTTTAACTACAGACACTGCAGAGCTGCAATCATTCGCACTATGATGAACTTCATCTTGACAACAGCTTTAATTATCTGCAGCATCAGTAAGTACTGCCAACACATTTCTCTCTACTTTGTTGCTTCTACAATTAAGACTTATTTTCTTATGTATAATTTATTCAGAGGTGTTGTTTACCTTCCTATAACACGCACATCTCTTGTTGTCTCTGCTGTTTGTTTCAGGCTGGATCTCTGTCTCAGTTTCTGAGTCTCAGACTGTGAAGGTCCAGCCTGGTCAAGAAGTCACACTGTCGACTACCAACATTTCCAGAAATCAAGCCATGACAACCTGGTTCAGAGTGGTCAACAGAACCAAGGCCAGCTGTATCTCCGTTATGACCACCTCTGACAGCAATCCTTTATACTGTGATGGATTTAAAAATGGAAAATTTGAAATGAGCTCCAACACCTCCACTGTCTTTCTCAAAATTAAGACAGTGAATCTTTCTGACTCTGGGCTGTATTTATGTGGATTTTACGTAGAGGGACAGACAATTTTAAGTGTGATACATTTAAATGTTGAAGGTAAGATTATAAAATCCTGTGGTACCTCTTCTTCTGTTATGTCTTTCTATCTATTTGCAAGTTTAATAACTGACCTAAAACACATGGGTGGATATTTAATTAATGTCAAAATAATCATAATAAAACCATTTAAAAGTAAAATCTAGATTAAATATATCTTCATTTTGTTAAAAGGCAGTGATGAATCTCATGATGACGTTGACAAAAAATCCACAAGTAAGATTCTTTCATTTGGCTATTTAATCATTGTCAAAAGAAGCGTGATAAAAAACATTTCAAATTAAAAATCAAGATTAAATATATCTTCATTTTGTTAAAAGGCAGTGATGAATCTCATGATGACGTTGACAGAAAGTCTACAAGTAAGATTCTCTTTAAGATTTCTTTCATTGTGCAGATAGTCGATAAAAACAGTACAGCTAACTTAAGATTTGTCAATTTAATGTTTGCATTTCTTAAGCTACTAAAGAGATACAGTCTAATTATATTATATTTCTTTTAGCAGAGTGTGATAAAATAACAAAGCTGATGAGTGGGATCCTGGGCGGCCTGACTGTTTTCCTCATAATGGTCATCATCTGTCTGGTTCTTAAAAACAGGAACGTTCAGAAAGGTACTTTATTTTAAAACTCCTGTTTGTATCTCGTGTTTGGTTTATTGTTTTTTTCCATCTTTAATGTTTTGTCAATATGTTGGGAGAATACAAATGTAAATGTTTTTTAACTTAGATATATTCTTTGTCACTCAGCTGCCAGTGAAGAACAGAATCCACAACAGAATGCGGTGAATCCTTTGTTATAATTTACTTTTAATTGTTTTGTAATTTTAAATTATGTCTTCTCATTTGTAGTTTTTCTCTAAATTTCAGCTTGGTCAGATAATCGACTGTAAATATTCTCTTTAACAGAACCTGGGCTCTGATGACCTGAACTACGCAGCAGTGAATTTCAGTGCAAAAGCAAGAAGAAGAGAAGTGGAGCCCAATGTTGTGTATTCTGCTACTAGATAGACTGAGGAAACAAGAAATGCTGTTCAGGATGTAACTGATGCTTTACCATGTTAATCTGCAGTTGTGCTTTTGTGTGGGTGGTGGACTAAAAAAAACGTTCAACCTTTAATCTTGTGCTAAGTTTTAATGCTTATCTATCTTAAAATCAATAATTAGATTACAGCCATACGGACATTATTGTGAAAGCTGACTGAATATAATGTGTCTATACTAGTACGGGGAAGAAAAATACAAAGATAAACTAGCCATTCCCTGGTTTTAAACCCGGGTTGTGTTTTTTAAATGAACATGTACTGCATGTGTGGTGAGAAAACTGTTCTGTCTGTATCAGCCTAAAGAGAAGTCTCGACCACAGGAAAACCGGC